TCCAGCTAACTGGGAAGTCCCACTTTTCATCCCATTTTTAGGGGGGTTGGGTGGTCTAGTAGTTTAACGCAAGATCTGTCAATGAGTCAAGTGGCATGGTTTCGATTCCCCGCTTGTACGTGCCAAGGAGTAGGGTCGCCTGTCCAACCTCGTGGGTTTTCTCCAGGTCCTCCGGTTTCATCCCACAGCTAAAGACTCCTATGCACAGGCACATTATTGAAATAAAATTGAACCATATGTGAGTACCAAAATGACCATGTTTGTGTCAAGCGGACGTTAAATCCCATTTAATCTCGCTGGCATACTAATCCATTTAAATCTCTGCCATCTGATGTTTTAAAGAGTTGATTATGGTCTCGTCATGTTAATAAATGTCTAATTAATAATTTATATAACAATTGAGGCCAAAATAAAGACACTACTTTAGTTCTTCCATAATGTATGTTTCACTATTTTCAGTAAAAGTTTCTTTTCAATTGATACCAGTTGGAATTAACAGCACTAGATGGATGCATTTATAACACCTACAAGTTTCAAATAGAAATTCTTGTTGTGTGAATCATTTAGATTTAGGTGAGGTAGCATACAATTACTGCCAAACCCATAAACTCTTATTTTATAATTATATACATCACATAATCCAAAGTTCTTTTAATTTTCTCACCCTTGCCAGAATTGATTAATATAGTAGCAAAAGCATGGAGGCGGGATGGAAAGAAATGGGAGTTAATATTAATTAGAGCTAGGGAAGGTCATTTTGGAATTAACAAATCTTCTCTTTGTATGCAGAGATTTCTCAAGTGGACTCATAACACCCTGAATTCTTTTAATCTTTGGCTAAATGCTCTATGTTTTTCCAACCTGCTAATGTGAGGAGTCACTGTGGCTCAGTGAGTAAGGTGCTGGCTTAACAAACCAGGAAGTCCCGGTATGATACCAGGGTTGTCTAAGTATGTGTCTTGTAAAGTGGATGTTAAACCCATCTCTCTCTTTAGATAACCAAACTTCCTTGTTAATACGATCTGAAACATGTTGGCTCAACTACCCTATTAGTCTATAATATTACTGTGAAACTTTTATAAGGGTACCTTTCTTGCTTTCTTATTTGCAAAATTCTTCAAAATTTACTCAAATTTTACATTTTATCTTGAGCTGCGAGGCCCCTTTCTAGTGTGGGGCCCAATTTGGGGAAATTGGTCAAATGTGCCAAAAACCGACCCATTGTAAATATGATGTGAAAGGTACTGGCCTCTCAAATAACTAAACTGGCCGAAAATATTCCTCAAGAATTCTAGCCTGGTGTCAATACTAAACCCCATCTCTCTACTTCAGACCACCCAACCCCAATGTAAATATACAATAAAATAATATTATAAAAAAAATATCAATGTGAATGAATTGAAATCAAATATTATATAAACAAAATCATGAAATATAATATTTACGCATGCTTTATCTCTTTATTACCTGTCATGTAAAATAACCAAAAACATGATTCTTATAGAATTGGCCCAGTTTCAAATCAATTTAAATCATATCAGGTTTCCTGTAAACAATGGATTCCTATGTTTAAATGGCTGTAATACTTTTGATATTAAATCTATGCTCATAATATACCGTTCAAAATCGCAGGGATTATTTTTAAACCAGTTCAAAATCGCAGGGATTTTTTAAGACAGGATCGTGTTGCGTACACACGTACTATAAGCCAAAGCAGTTTAACTATTCTGATCTCCTCGGTCGGAGATTAGATTTAACTAGGTATGGGCAGCCTTATATTCTTAATTCGGTTCTCACATACTTTCACTAATAGTGGCACTGCCTGACTCTGACGTTTTTCCATGAATGTAACTTACTGTGTACTTCACATGCTCAAAGCGAGCTGGAGCCGGGGTTTTTAGTCTAACCAGTTCAGATGGCCAATACGAACCATTTTAAAAAGATAGGTTGCCAGGCAACGAAACATACGCCCACAGCAGCTGAATCGTCCTGGCAGTCAACAAGAGTTGTCGCATATTTTTACTTTTTTCGGTAATTTATACATTTATAATACACTAAAATCTGATTAAGAGCAACAACTCAGAAAACCATTAGAATTTGTTTGGTTTTTATAAAGTTCTGCCCCATGCTAACGTTTTGTATACAAAACTTTTAATACTGTATCATGAATTTAGCTGTTCCAAGTCATAAAAATTCATTGAAAATCAATATACTTGTTCGTCTCAAGATCTTAAACTCTGTGTATCTTTCTGCAGTTAATCTGATATTAACTTTGGCCTCTAGAGCGTCCACAAGATTTTTCAAAGTGATCAAGGGCCATAACTTTGGCAGTAATTATCATAAATCTTTGAAAATCAATAGGATTCTTCGCCTCGTGACCTCAAACACTGTGTATAAATTTAAAGTCAATCAGATATTAACTTTAGCCTTTAGAGCATCCACAAGGTTTTTTGAAGTGATCAAGGGCCATAAATCTGGAAGTAATTATCGAAAATCACTGAAAATGAATAGACTTCTTCGTCTCATGACCTGAAACACTGTGTATAAATTTAAAGTCAATCGGATATTAACTTTCGCCTCTAGAGCGTCCACAAGATTTTTTGAAGTGATCAAGGGCCATAACTCTGGCAGTAATTATCGGAAATCGCTGAAAATCAATAGGCTTCTTCGTCTCATGACTTTAAACACTGTGTATAAATTTAAAGTCAATCAGATATTAACTTTGGCCTCTAGAGCGTCCACAAGATTTTTTGAAGTGATCAAGGGCCATAACTCTGGCAGTAATTATCGGAAATCGCTGAAAATCAATAGGCTTCTTCGTCTCATGACCTTAAACACTGTGTATAAATTTAAAGTCAATCGGATATTAACTTTCGCCTCTAGAGCGTCCACAAGATTTTTTGAAGTGATCAAGGGCCATAACTCTGGCAGTAATTATCGGAAATCGCTAAATTTCAATAGGCTTCTTCGTCTCATGACCTTAAACACTGTGTATAAATTTAAAGTCAATCGGATATTAACTTTGGCCTCTAGAGCGTCCACAAGATTTTTTGAAGTGATCAAGGGCCATAACTCTGGCAGTAATTATCGGAAATCGCTGAAAATCAATAGGCTTCTTCGTCTCATGACCTTTAACACTGTGTATAAATTTAAAGTCAATCGGATATTAGCTTTGGCCTCTAGAGCGCCCACAATATTTTTTGGAGTGGTCAAGGGCCATAACTCTGGCAGTAATTATCGGAAATCGCTGAAAATCAATAGGTTTCTTCGTCTCATGACCTTACCTTAAACACTGTGTATAAATTTAAAGTCAATCGGATATTAACTTTGGCCTCTAGAGCGTAAATAAGATTTTTTGAAGTGATCAAGGGCCATAACTCTGGCAGTTATTATCGGAAATCGCTGAAAATCAATAGGCTTCTTCGTCTCATGGCCTTAAACACTGTATATATATTTAAGGTCAATCGGATATTAACTTTAGCCTCCAGAGCGTCCACAAGCAATTGTGGATGCCGGACGCCGGACCGACCGACGGGGGTGACAACAATATACAACCACATTTCAATGTGGGCGTATAATAAAAAGCCTTCTCAAAGACAGGTCGCGAGCTGGGGGCGTTAAACTGGTTTAACGATCTCCAGGGTTTTTAAACCAGTTCAACTTAAGTGTCTGAACAGGCTATAAGTCAGTTCTGGTCACCACCAATCTGTTTCACGGCCTTTTTCTAATACTGTACACGATGACTGACCATTAAGTTCGCATGTGACGTCACATCATATGGTGCTGATAAGACATGCATTGTTTACATCTGATGTAGTAATACAAACCGGTCTGCTGTACGGGCAGAATTAGTGCCTTTAACTCATTTTACGCCACCGCGTACTATTTTATGTACCCATAGGAAACATTTTTTATCAGTATATACTTCCAACATCTTTTTTATTTTTCTAATTATTTAAAAGATAGGTTGCCAGACAACGAAACATATGCCCCACAGCAGCTAAATTGTCCGAGTACTTGACAAGAGTTGTCGTATATTTATTCTTTGTAGGTAATAGGAGAATTTACATGACACTGATATCAATTTCATACAGATTGAATGATAACTTTTGTCTTTAGAGAATTCACAATGTTCAACAAAGTGAAACAAGGGCCATAATTATTGGATATTGCCAAAATTCAATAGGATTTTTCCTTTTACTACTCTAAATAATGCATATGAATTTAATACAGGGGCTCAACAAAGTGGAACAAGGGTCATAACTCTAGAAGTTATTAACAGAAATTGCTGAAGTGCAATAGGATTCTTCATTTTACTGATCTAAATAATGCATATCAATTTCATACAGATCGGATGATAAAGAATATATGGGTATCTTTGTTTTGAGAATAGTTAAACCATGCGACCACCCCTCTCCATATTCCTGAAGCAATGGCCCAAGAAATCCCTCTCTGGCCATTGCTAGATTGACTTCTGATACCAGAGCTTTTGAGGGAGTGTGTATATTCTTCCCGTTCAATCAAATCTTGCCTAAGTACAGCAACATGACAGCCCTTCGTTTCATCTGGTGGTCTTCCCTAAAACTTTGGACACTGGTTTGTCTCCAAGCAGTATTGTTTACATTGTAGCCGTTTAGTAAGACTTGTTTGTCACGCAATTAGTTTTTCTGCAATATTCTGCTATGCACTGGTTAATTGGGCGTAATCAATTTCGTGAGTCACGACGTAACGTTATGTAAACATATTTGGAGCTCTGTTTAAACCTGAATGATATTGTTATGCAGTTAGGTATTGGTTGATAATCGGACTATTGACCAGTCACAATTTGGAACAGAAATTTGCTTTCATTACAGCAGTGTTTCAGTGGGATTAGGTCTAATCAAACGAAACAATGCGAGGAGTATGAACCCCCGCCCAGGTACAGAAGTTTCAAGCTTGTGTGAATATCCAAATACAGACAGAGAAATGAAGAGTAATATGAGAAAACAAATGCAACTCACCTTTTGATTTTGAATGACCGTTTGAAGGGGAGACAACCTGAGATACAGGAGTAGGAAAAGACACAGGTGATGCTTGAGTAACAATGGGTGATTTTGGTGAGACAGGAGGTGCCACGGAAATAGGTGACTTTGGTGTTAATGGTACATGTTTGATCACTGGCGATTTCGGGGCTGATCCAAATGGCGTATGCTTGACAGTTGGTGATTTGGGCACTGCTGGAATTGCTGTTGATTGTTTAACGATAGGAGATCTTGGCCCACTGTTGTTTGTTTGTTTTGCCACAGGAGCAGCCGCAGGGGGTTTAACTGGAAGTAGTTCTTCTGGTGGTGGAGGAAGCGGAAAATCATCGATATCACAAACGGGAACGAATGGTGGAGTAAATAATGGTGGACTGGAAGCAAGAGATTCCTCCGCTAAAAAAAAAAAAACATTTTAAAAATAATTACATGTATAAATTCTATAGATTTTAATGCTGTAGATATAGTATTTTTAATGCTGTAGATTGAGTATTTTTTACAGAGGTTACATGTATACTTTTTATATTTATCTTATATTTAGTCTGGTGGTTATGTTTATACTTTTTATATGAAAATTAATGCTTATTTTTATATGTGTTTTCTTACAACAAAATGTAACTAGCACCATAGAGCAGTAAACGTAGTACTGGTCATAGGCGATTTATAAATAAATCAATATCATGTACCCCATTCTATAATAGGCTATTCTAATAAAGATGATTACATGTAGCTACTTGTGGTGAGGTGTGGTCACATTAATCAACACAGTCAAGAGTCTAATGCCTTCACTATGGAGCTGAATCGTTGCCATATTAATAGGAAATATCATGGTTTAAATGGCAAAATTATCATAGTCAAAATGGCCATTTTCGAGATTTTTTCACTTGTAAATATTACAGAACACAAAATCACTATATTAGTATCAAAACAAAAGATGCTCGACAAATATTAACAATGTAAAAATCTGCTTATGTTTTACACTTTCTACTGTAAAATATAAGCAGATTTTTACATTGTTAATTTTTAATGATGCTGTTGTAACCAGAAGCTTTTTTTTTCTAAAGGTCACATGACTATCAGTGATGTAATCGATGTTAAAAGAGACACTTATTATATACAGCTACCAAACATACAACACATTGCTACAACAGCTCATCTACAAGTAATTCAAAAATTTAACAATGCAAAATGAAACGAAATAGGGTTTAACATCCTACTGTTCTGCTCTGACTGGGCTAATGAAGAGGGCATCGACCATACAGTGTGCTATGGCCTACTTTTATATCAGATTCCAACTGTCAAGGTTCATTTTATGTGAACACCAATCTGTACACAGGACCATTTTCATCCCATCCCAAGGACTAATTTCCAAAGCATGTCACTACATCCCCTGTAAATACGAACCTGTTTGATAAATATCTCCTAATTTATCTGTTTTGGTTTTCTTGAGTTGAATTCGACCCAACTCATTCCCACCATCGCCGCCACTGCCACTGCTCTCTTGTATAGATGACGGGATGCTACTTGAACCATTCAATATACCAGCTTTAAAATAGACAATGTACAGTAGAGTTACTTCCTTTTAATCTTCAAGGAAAACTGAATGAAATGGGGTTTATCATCCTACTGTTCTCCTAAGATGAGGAAAACTCAAGGCATTTTGTGTTTGTTATTGCTAAATTCATGGATTTTTAAAATAAAACAAAAATGCCCCGATACTTCCCTTTAAATCTTCAAAGAACACTGAATGAAATGGCGTTTAACGCCCTTCAGTTCTGCTCTGAGTGGGCTAATGAAGATGGGGAAAACTCAAGACATTATTTTATACATGATTTTCTCATGCAGGAATTTGAATTTGACATTTTGTTGTTTGTTATTGCTCAATTCATGGATTTTGATAATAAAACAAAAATGCCCCTACAACTTTTACTGATCACTAGAATTGTCAAGCCAAGAATGGGGTCAGCTCCAGGCAGTAATGCAAAAGGGACGAAAAACAACAGAGTTATTCCCCTTTAGTCTTCAGATCATCCACAAAAATTGCATATACATGTAACATTTTCTATAGAACAATAATAATCAACACACAACTTGGAATTTTTTAAATATGAATCCTGAAAATCTGCACACAGAGAAATGCTAATTTAAAATTTTATGTTATTTCGACAAATGTCATTTTACTTTTGTTTTATTTCATTTATAATGTTTCAAAATAATTACAAATTTAAAAACAATAATTTGTGGATTTTCTTGCTAATTTTCCTAAAATTACTGACCTGTTGATTGACTTCGTGTTTTCAGTTTAATCGTTCCAATTTCTTGTATTATTGCCGCATCCACACCCGAATTACTCCGGGACAACGACCCAGATCGTGACTTTTTCACAGCTTCTTCTCTACCAGCTGGCCTGGTTTGTCTTCCAGGGATCGTAGACACTGGAGGTGGGGGAGGGGGATTCACAGCTTGTCCAGCATGGAGTTCTGGTGGGGGTGGGGGTAACGGCGGAGAAGGACATCTCGTAGATTGAGCACCAGCTAGATAACGATCTTTAACTTGAAGTGGGGGTGGGGGAGCAGGGAAGTTTGGGGGAGGAGGAACACTCATTTGACAATCGACCGAAGCGGATCTTTGTTGAAATTTTTTCGGAAGTTTTGGAGATCCTACATTTTTACATTTACTTTTCTGCTCATTATAAGTATCTGATTGTCCGACTGAGCTGCGTCTTAAAACGGGACTGGTCTGAACCCCATTTGTCAGTTTTTTCACACTATTCCGTATTTGCATGTGCCTCGGAGACTGTTCATATTGTTGGGAGGCATCCTCATTATGGATATAGGAAGCATATGTATTTTCCGGAGAATAATAGAAACTATGCGGATCTGTAGCACCGTTTGTATAATCCTGTTCTGAATGTTTTTTCTGTTGCTGTAACAACGAAGCATTAGGCACATATGAGTATGGTTGATTGCTTGATGGGTGATGAGGATGTTTTTTAGCGGGTGATATTGGAGGACTTGGCGTTGAATAGTGAGAATCTTGATATAATCCCTGGCCCAGGTCCGGTTCTGATATAGATGATCCCTGAAAAATACAATAAAATTTTTTTTTAAAATTTAAAAATTTACAATTCAACAACTAATGATTCTGATATAGATAATCCCTGAAATATATTATAAATTTTTGTTAAAATTTACAATTCTCCATTTATTATTTTGATTAAAATTCCACATTTATTGTCTAGATCAGGGGAAGGTGGGCGGGGGGAGGGGTAGATGGGTGTCCATCAAATGGGCACAAAACCTGACCCAACTTTTCTAGAGTAAAATTTTGCGTAGTATTCAATTGTTTTTCGGACAACTAGTTTCATCATGTATAACAATCGTTGTTAAACTAAATCGGGGAGATTTCGATTTGACAGTTTTTACATATTTTTGAAACAAGTTTTGAAGTGTTTTGGTTCTGTTGTGCAAGATCTTTTTCGACGTGCCAAAGTGCTAAGAACACCTTAAGATAAGTTCTAAATGTCCCTACTGTTAATTAGAACAGGTTACACTTTAGTTTTTAAATTTTACGCTGAAATTTTATTGCTTTAAACCTTCCTATTGCAAAAACGGAAAACTTGGCCTTTTGACCTCCCTGGTCACAAAGAACAAAGGTGACATTTTTATTGAATGAGTGATTACTTTCGATCATTTTTGACATATTTTCATGACACAAGAATGGCTGCGTATTCACTTTCAGTGCATATGACCTCATCTGACCTTTGACCCTGAATATCCCAAAAACGTCCCAACAGCGGACGGATTACCGCTCGGAATCATATTCTACACAAAAATTTACTCTAGAAAAGTTGGGTCTGGTTTTGTGATGGCCCCCCCCCCTCCCCCTGCATTGAGCCTCCCGTCTATAACTATTACTGTAAAAACCATGGTATATCAATTCTTATATCAGTGTTCCCACCAAATATACCCCAACCCCAAGGTCACAAAATGATCTCCTGCTAATAGTTATAGACTTAAATCCTTTGGGTTTCGACAATTTTCCGACCTTGAGCTAAAGTTATGGCACTCTTTACCGTTATATCTCAAATCTTCACAATGTTTGGAAACTTTCAAATCAAAACTAAAATCTCATCTAGTGTGAATCATATTATAAATAGTGCACTATAAAATTAAAAAGCTAAACAAACCTGGGCCATGAGCATACTGTTTGGATGAAATGTGTGCAAATTATTTTTATCTATTATCATTAAAGATACATGTACATTATGTAAGATTTAGTTCAAAAATAGATAATGTAAAATGAATAATTTGGAAATTTCATTCAAATTACTCTATTGTGAGGGAAGATATTAGCCTTTGAAGGTTTGACAAGACGTGTGCAATAATTTCAACCCCCGTATGGGTTGTTCAAAGCTAAGTCTCGCTCCTCCATTTTTAGCTTAAATCAAAACATGGCTGAACTGTTCTAATCTATTTAATATCGGAGAAATCTGATGCCAGTTGATTATGGCCTGGATAAGTTAATCAATGTCTAATTAATAATTTAAAAAACATTTCAGGCCTAAAGAAAGACCTGCAATAGGCAGATTTAGCTCTTGCATAATGTATGTCTAAAGGAGGTCTATTAGAATGGACATTTCTAATCTTGATAAGGCTTTTAAAAATTTGAAATATGTAAACTAAAGAAAAATTCTGTAATTATTGTATTATGTATCTTCTTTGAGCGGCATTTAGCAATGGATACATGTAATAAACACAAAAACATAATATGGAACACAATTACTATTTTGATTAAAGTGACGTTTCGTTGAGGGTTCTCTTACGATGATGAATATAATATACAGAAGGTTTATATACATAGACAATTATCAACTAGAATAATCTATTGGGAAACCACTTAACCATTCTGAGTAAATAAAATAACAGATCAAATGGAAATTAATCGATTAAAACCATATACACAAAACAAGTAACAACTAATTAGCCAATAATGGACGGTTGGAAGTTGAAATAAGAGAAGGCTATAGCACATTGTCTTCATTACCCGACAGTCATTTCATTTCATGACAATTGGTATAGACACACAAGTTATTATAGACATCATTATAACTCTCTTGTGACATAAAACAAACTTTAGCCCTTTACACTCAATGTCTACCTCATACATAATAGATAACAACAACCATTCTCATATCGTACTAAAGAATGCTGAAAATGACATCATAAGGATGTTAGGATTGTTAATCAAATTCATCGTAGTGGAATTTTGACCTGAAAAAAATATTGAACCATCGATCATGAAGAGCTCTCAAGATTCAGAATCTATTTATACATTGTGAAGATGTCAAGTGACACCGAGGTTTAACATCCTACTGTTCTACACTGATTGGATTAATGAAGACGGGCATACACAATATGGCTTACTCTTGTTTTGAATTCCAACTATCTAGAGCTTCCTTTACATACATGGAAAGTTTTTTCGGCGTGGTTTCTCGTTGCCAGTGGTGTATGAAATGAAATGAATCGGGGGTTAATGTCTTACTGTTCCAGTGGTGTATGATGTAGGGCCTGACAATTGACAGCTGTCTAGTCGTTCATTTTACACACTGCCGTGCATGTAAAAGAACCCTTGATAGTTGGAATTTGAAATAAGAGAAGGCTGTAGTGTCGTTGTCTGGGCAAAATTTCCCTCATAGCACATAGTATACCTGTCTTCATTTTCCCGGTTCGTACACAAGTACATGTACAAACTAAACTTAGGCTGTCTGTCTACAGTTAAGTCCGCTTGAGAACAGACACTAAGCTAGCTGACCGACATTTTAAGTCCTAAATCGATGATTTTAGTCGAAAACACAAAGTAAACTTCGAGAATATTGTTATGGATTTATTCTGCTTCCATTTAATACAATTGAAAAAGTTTGTTTAGTCTTTGCGTGTATGACAGAGGTGAAACGGAGTAGAACCTGCTAATTACAAAAAAGTATACTAATTTTTAGATATGGCCGCCATTTAGGGCAGAGATCAATTCTCGAAGATCTATATTTCATTTTTTATACTTTCGATGACCTCTACTACATGAAGATCTGACAAGTTGTACTCGAAGGTCGTGTCAGGGGTCGTACAAGCGGCTTTTGACCCTATCATGTCAGACATTGATTAATCAATCAGCGTTGGAGTTTCTAGTAGTTTATCCACAGTCCTGTGCATGTCACGCCAAGAAGTCACGGTATCAGATTGTTTCATTGGCATATTTCTCACTTTTAACCAAAACGCTGGTAATATAACAACTCTTTGAGATCCTAGTGTAGTAAAGACAAGTAAAACGAAACTTTGAACTATACTAATGTCCAAAAGAAAGTATACACACTAAAAATATGATTAAGTTTTATTTTGATTAAAAACATTTGAAAAAACTTTACTGGGTTTGTCTCTTGCGTCCAAACTCAATATTTCTAAGCAAAACAAAAAAAAGCGAAACAGATTGACATTGTACCCAAATGCCGCATATGATGGAGAGAGAGAGATAGAGATGGGGTTTAACGTCCACTTGACACAAACTAGGTCATTTCGGGACTAACATATGGTTTTAATTTTTATTTCGATAATTCCCTTGCGTGTAGGGGTCTTTAGCAGTGGGAGAAAACCGGAGGGCCCGGGGAAAACCCACAAGGTTGGACAGGCGACCCTACTCCCTGTCATGTACAACTGGGGAATCGAAACCCCGCCAGTTGACTCAATGACAGACCGTATGATACAGCGCACGCGTGCTAACCATCCACCCCCCACCCCTCTGCATATGATGGAAAACAACTTTGGTTGATGCAGCATGAATGTATACTTTCTTTTGGACATTAGTATATAAAAAACGAAACGAAATACGATCTGTTTTTTAATCAGGTTGGTGTGTGTACACAGTCGGTTTAAAAAATGTGTTCTTTATTTGTGGCTGATCTGACCAAATAAATTTAAAAAGCCCATTCGTGGCTCATTTGACCAACTAAGTTTAAAAGCCTCTGTGATTATTGAATTATAGATTTAATCCACCTATCCTCTGTCTCGCGTTTCATGTTTTTACAATGTCTGACCTACGTTCATGAAACGCGAAATTAATGTCTTTAGTAAAATTGATTTGTCTGGAGGTCAACTGTCATGGTTCAACCACAAGATCTTCTAGACATAAAATACTTTCGTCAATATTTTACATCTTGTTCTGTGGATGCTAAACTCTCTAGCAATAGAGTTAATTATTGCTGGTATTGAAAGGTTTCAGACCAACAGATATTCGTAGACCAATATCAAGGTAGCTGAATCTTAAGTAAACAGATGAGCCGAGAGAGAGAGAGAGAGAGAGAGAGAGAGAGAGAGGGGGGGAGGGGTTTAACATCCAATCACTAGGTCATTTTGGGACTAACATATGGTTCAATGTTATTTCAATAATTTGCTTGCTCGTTAGGGGTCTTTAGCAGTAGGAGGAAGCTAGAGAAACCGGAGAAAACCCACGGGGTGGACAGGCGACCCTAATCCTTGTCACGTACCACCCGGGAATCGAAACCAGAGAGAGATAGAGACAGAGAGAGACAGAGAGAGATGGGTTTCATCATACACACAACACAAACTAGGTCCTTTCGGGACTAACATATAGTGCCATTTTTTTTCAATAATTTGCTTGTGTGTAGGGGTCTTAATTAGCAGGAGTAAACCAGGGGACCCAAAGAAAATCCACCCTGTTGGACAATTACATAGTTTCAGAAACATCTATTCATTTTTCCTAAGTCAAAAAACCCTAAAGAAAACCTAACCGAAGACCAGAATATGCCATGTAGTGTGCTATGAGGAAATTTCAAACCAAGATTTTATAATCCAAGTCGACAGAATAAACCCATTTATAATGTTTTAAAAAAAATAAAAATAAAGCTAATGTACAGAGTGGGCCAAGAAAATGTTACCCTTTCTTTTTTAAATGTGAATACTTTAATAATTTCTTTCAGCAAAATGTCATAGAAGCCTGAAGTTTTTATTGAATATTAATTCTCCTATATTTTATCACTATTTCTGAACATGGTTCAATAATTAATAACA